TGCTGGTCAACACCACCTCTGTCGGCATGCACCCGCAGGTGGGCGGCGCCGGGGCTGGCGCTGCTGCGGGGCACCGCGACACCGCGGCGACACTGCGCACCCCGGCAGCCCATGCCCGATCCGGGCGTGGGTGGCGGGCTGCCTTCTCACTGCCCCGCCCGTGCCTCTGCCGCCACCCACGCCCCCGTGCGGTGCAGGAGGACGAGACGCCGGTGCCGGCGACGGCGCTGGGCGGATACCGCCTCGTGTTTGACGCGGTCTACACCCCGCTGCACACGCGCCTGCTCAGGTGCGGCACTCCCGAGGACCCCGCTCCCATCGCCCTGCTGCATGGCGGCGGACCGGCAGCCTTGCTTGCGCTGCGCCTGGCTGGCCTGGCGGCGCGCCGATGTCCCGCGCCGTACCGCCGCACACCCTCTATATCTGTGCAGGGACGCGGCGACGGCGGGGTGCGCTGTGGTCACGGGGGACACCATGTTTGTGGGGCAGGCGGCAGACCAGTTCCGGCTGTTCACAGGGGTGGAGGCGCCTGTGGAGCTGATGAGAAGCGTGGTCCTGGACAGCCTGAAGCAGTAGCGGCGGCGCCAGGGGCGGGCGCAACGCACGCGGCTGCCGCACACCCTGTGATGCCGCGCTCATGCTCGGTTGATGCTGCTGCCCTGAGGTCAGGCGCCAAAAGTGCGATACATCCGTTTGGCACAACAAGGAGAACGGCGCGCCAGAGCGCGGGGGGCGAGGCGGGCAAAAAGACAGTGCGGTGTGTGCTGGGAGAGGACAGGATCAGAGGTCAGATCGGAGGGGGGCCGTCGGCGGCAGGGGTACAACAGAACTTTGTGTGTACATTACACAGCGTGGCAGCGGCAGCGGCCCGCTACGCCTGCTTGGCCCAGGCAGCCTTGAAGGCGTCGGTGATGAGGGGCGGGGTGGGCTCCCTGTCGAAGCTGCCGATCAGCTGGTACTCCTCCACCCCCGGCCCAAGCTCTACGCGGCGGAACACCTGCGAGGCGGGGGAGTGGGGCGGGGAGGCTCTGGCACAGCTCCTCTTGGCGCCCGCTCGACTCCAGGCCGCACACAGCGTGCAAGGGCGCGGGTTGCAGCCGCTGGGCGTGTTCAAGCCAACCCGCACACAGCTCGCGGCATGCCGTCCACCCCTCCCCAGCCACACTCTGCCCGTGCCCCACCCCTGCCCACCTCCCATGGCCCGTCGTGCTCGTGCCTCAGCGCCCCCATGATGGGGTGCATGCTGACGCCCTTGTACAGCAGGCGGAAGTGATAGGCGGTGCCAAAGGTGGCGGTGAAGTCCAGGCGGTCCTGGCGCCCGCGCACCGACATCACGCCCGCCGCTGCGCGCAGGGGGCCGCGGCGCCAGGCCAGGGGGCAAGCAGGCATGGTTGGGAGAGTGGACGGTGCCGCATGCGGGTGCGGGCCAGCCAGGCAGCAGCGCTGCTAGCGGGTGGCAGCCAAGAGGAGCGCGCTTGGCCGGCTGGTGTGGTTTGCCGCCAGCGGGTGCGCGGCACCCACCCGACTGTATGTCTGTCAGCTTAGGGTTGATCAGCACCATGGGCTTGCCCGCCTCCTCCGCGGCAGCAACCATCTCTGCGCCGGCGGCCGGGAGGCGGGGGGTAGGGCGAGTCAGGCGGGCGGCTGGGACAGGCCAGATGCACGCAAAACCATTCTGGCACTGCTGGCACCCGACTCTTCACCCCGCCCCACCTGAGAGCAGCGGCATGATGCTGTGGCCCACGATGTTCTGGGGCGCGATGAGCACAAAGGCGTCAGCATCCTCCACCTCTGCCGCCCCCAGGTTGCCCGTCAGGATGCGGTCTGCAGCGGTGGCGGGGTGGCAGGTCAAGGAGGTAAGGACAGGGCAGGGTGATGAGTGCACCAGCCAAGCGCTGCAAGCACACATGCCTTCCTCATGGCTCCTCCCTGTGTGCACACAAAACAAACACCCGACAACCCCACCCCTCGCTGACGACACACCCTTCTCTCTCTTCCTACACCCACACACCTGCGCTCTCCCCCCAGTCCATCTGCTTCATGATGCGCAGCACGCCATTCAGGCTCAGCGGCATGCCCTGCGTGCACCACAGGCAGGCAGGAAGGTAAGCAACGCAGCTCTCTTCCGCTGCCGCCTCCCTGCTCCACAGCCTCCTGCCCCAAATCCTGCTGCCAAACCCACCGGTCAGGCAGGGCCATCCCACCCAGCCTCCCAGCCCAAGGCATGCCCGCAGAGGCCTGGTTGCGCCCGCTCCTCACCTGGAACACGCCCTGTCCGAGCGCCTGCTGCACGCACACCTTGACGCGCTTGCCGTCTGCCGCCAGGCTGGTGGCCACCTCGCGCACCAGCTCCAGCAGCGTGCCCACCCGGTACACATCAAACTCGGTGTTCAGCTCGGGGATGGTGCACCTGCGGGGAGAGGTTGGCCCCAGGGGGTGAGGGGAGGTGCTTCTGTGCCATGAGCAGAGAAGGAAGTGCTTGCGCAGGTGGCAGGTGGCAGGCCGCTACACGCTCATGCATGCATGCACAACAGCGGGGCGGCAAGCCCACCTGGCCAGCACCCGCGTCTCCCCTGCATCGATCGCCCTCTTGATGGCGGTGGTGGCCTCGCGGTAGAAGTGCTGCCGAGTGGTGCGCTCGTGCGGGATGGTGTTGAGGCGCGTGGGAATGGGCGCAGGCGTGTCTGCCACCGCTGTTCCTGCTGCTGCAGCGCCATCCTCTGCTGCCGCGGCGCGCACATGCAGCCGCAGGCTGGCATGGGGGCTGCTGCGACACGGTATGCTGCCTGGGGAGGCGGCTTTGCTGCGGCCGGCAGCGGCGGCGGCGCAGGCGGAGCGGCCGCCAGCGGGCACCGCCCTGGCGCTGCAGCCGTGTGCCTGCGCGATTGCACGCATCGTTTGTGCGCTCTGCATGCGCTGGATCTGCTGTTACCAGGCTCAGAAACGAGGTCCGGCCAAGATAGACGGGGATAAAAAAGCTACAACGCGGGGGGAGCGTTTCTCGCCTCTGTGCTGCTGCCTCGCAATAGATGATCGACTACGCTGCTGTGGCGCTGGCTGCAAGCGCAATACCGGCTCAGCGCAGGTGGCGGTCATAGCGGTCACAGCACGCGGCGGAAGGTGCCACCGTCTGCTCCTGGCAGTGTGACAGTTTACATCGCATGAGGGCTGTTGCAGTTCATCAATAGTGCAGCCAGGCTGTTGCGCTGTTTGCGGCGCACGAGCGTCTCCCCTGGCGGGTCTCCCATGCCGGTGCCAGCGGCGCCAAGCCGCCACCCTTGACCAGGCGCTTGCCGCGGCGCCTCAATAGTCGCAGAACATGACATTCTCGCTGGGCACTCCATGCTGCGCCAACTTGCGGGTCAGGTGCGCCGCCATCTCGCCCTCCAGCCCGCTCACCAGCACCTGCACACGCGGCCGACCACAGGAAAACGCGCATCAGGCCAGCGGCAGCCCGCTTCCCGCTGTCGCCGACGGACGCGCTGTGATGCAGGGACCCAGCTCCTGCCTGCCGCCGGCCGGCCCACCCTACACACTCACCGCCGCCTCCTGCGCCTTGCCGGCCCCCAGCACCCCCGCCAGCCCTCCCTCGCCACGGAACAGCGCCGCATCCAGCAGCTGCTCGGGGCCCACGGAGGCGCCGTTGGCAGCGCCGCTGGCCGCCGCCTCCGACAGGTACAGAGGGGTCACCACCGCCTGCGGGCGCCAGGCAGCCACGGCAGGGGCAGCAGCAGGTGTGGGGAGCGGGCCGCCTGCCGGCAAACGGCGCGCTGCGGCGCCACGCTGGGCAGGTGAGCAGCCAGGCTGCCTCGCCGTGGCGGCGGCACGGCACACCACACACTCACCCCCGCCTCCCGCCACGTGTCCCACTCCACCAGGTATGCCGCGGAGGGCTGGCTGTCTGCCACGTAGAAGACCGCCACCCGGCTGCTGCCCGCGTGCGCCAGCACGGGGGTCCACGACAGCGCGGCGCGCACGGGCGCGATGCCGCGCACCCCCACCGCCACCAGCACCAGCGTGTGGCCCGCCTCCAGGCACGACACCAGGCTGGCCTCGGAGTTGAACAGGGACGCAAAGCTGCGCGGGTGGCAGGAGGAGGAGGAAGAGGGGCAGGAGGAGGGGGCGTCAGGGCGCAGCGCGGGCCAGGCAGGGAGGGGGCTGGTGGCCAGGGAAGGGCGCATGACAGAAGTTGTGCTTGTGCAGAGCCGATCGGGCAAGGCCGATGGGCGGGTGGGGGCTGCGGCTGAGCGCCGGCAGGTCGGCGGGCCTGCGGAGAAGCGCAGCTGCACCCAGGTGCTGCGGGGCATACGCACCCTGCGCCCGCCACCCGGCTGACTTCAATCATGCAGCCGGGGCCCAGCTCCGCAAGGTACCGCTCATCGGCGTCGCCTGCACTCACGGCGGCGGAGGCGGCACACAGAGGCCGGCCTGAACCTCTAGCTGCGGCAGTGCCTTTGGTGCCAGCCCCGCCCTTCCTTTGCCGCTGCCTCTTTCCGGCCTACCCGCCCCGCTCCATCCCCACCCCGCAGGCCAGCCTGCCGGCTTGCAGGCCGCCCCACCCACCCACCCGTGCGGCTGACCAGCAGCTCCACCAGGCTGGCATCCAGCAGCGCCGAGTCGCGGCGCGCCTCGTAGGGCGAGGAGGCCAGGCTGAGCAGGCGGCGCGCCACCACCAGCTGCGAGCACTCGTCCGTGTCGGTGCTGCTGCTGCCCTGCCCGCAGTAGCGCACAGCCACAAACTGGCCGGGCACCCTGCGCGGCAGGTGGGGAGGCGGCGGCCGCGCCCAGCGGGGTGAGTGGCAGCAAGCATCCACAAAACAGCTGGCTGTGCATCGACAAGCAAGGCGGCAGCCCAACCAGCCACCCAACCGCCATGCCCGAGCCACACCTCCAGCAGAGCCTGCAGCAGATCGGGCGTGCGCGCTGCACACGCGCCGCGTCCCCCACCCCCACCTGTAGTCGTCGATCCAGCGCCGGTTCTCCTGCACGTGGCGGACCTTCCTGCCCTCCAGGAAGTTCACGCGGTCCTCCACCGACAGCAGCAGCGTGCGCACGCTGCCATCCACAGACGCCTCCCTGTTCTCCACCACTGCGGGTGGGGCGGGTGGGCGGCAACGGGGCGCAGGTGAGATGGGAGAGGCAGGAGCCCGAGCCGGCGGTCCAGCTGCTTGTCGGCGATCCCCTGGGCCCAAGCACACCGGCCCCGCAGCGCAGCCCCTGCCTGTGGCGCAGCTCCAGGTCACGTCGTCGGGGGCGGTCTGCGCGGAGTGCAGCAGCTGGGCTAGCCCTCCACCCTTGCTGGCGGTGTCGGCGCGACAAATGAACGCTTTCGAGGTGCTGCGCCGCCTCCGTTGGGCCCTCGGCACGGCTCGGAAGACGGGCGCGGCGACAAACCTATCCCGAGAGGTGGCTGGGGAGCACGCGGCTGCCCCCGGGCACGCTGTTACGGCTCTGCACGCTCCACCTGCCATGGTGGTGCAGCGAGGAGTGGGGCAGAGGCCCCTGCCCTGCGATCGAAGCGGGTGATGGGCAGCACACCACAAGTAGTTGCGAGTGTTTGTGTATACGTTTTGAGATGATCTACGAATGCAGCGATGCCCTGAAGCAACAGCATGGGGATCTGCCAGGTGCCATCGCCACGCCAGCCATGGCCTCACCCTCCCCAAAAGCCCGTGCGGGCCCGTAAAGTCTGCAATTCTTCAACGGGTGTTGGCTGGGGCTGCCAGGCCCGCCCTTTGGGGCATTAGGGGGCCAGCTCCTTTGGACAAAACACTCCTCCGCGGTAGATACAGCCTCCCAAGCACACCTGCAGCAATGCTGCTCGTCAGCAGCAAATTCACGAGCCCGCTAGCGGCTGCGCGCGGCTCTGCAGGAGCCCCGCGCCTTGCCCTCCGGCCGCCGGGTGGGTTTCGAGGGCCACACGCCTGTGTTTTGAACGCCCCCGCCTGATCTGCCATGCATACACGGTGCGGCCGCTGAAGCCGCGCCTTGGACACGTGCAGGTGGAAGGATAGGCGGCAGCGGAGGACATGCCAGCGGGCGTCCTCTACAGCGGCGCCATCAGCACCAGCAGGCAAGTTGGCTGACTTCCTGCCGTCCTGCGCCGCTTGCCTGCGCCAGGAGGAGTGCCATGGTGCTCAGTAACGCAGTCAGACCGGGTGGCGGCTCCCGGCGGCTCGCCAGCTTCCCGCCTCACCGCTTCCGCCAGTAAGCCAGCTTCCGCGGCGCCTGGCCCCCCTCTGCAGGTCCGCGCATTCACAGGCGGCGAGGAGGAGCAGGCGGCCAGCGCCCGCAGCCAGGGCCATGCCTCCGTCACCTTCAGGGCCTGCCGCCACGTCGGCTTTGGGCAGGTGCTCAAGGTGGTGGGAGGCCCCGACCAGCTGGGCGGCTGGGATGCAGACAAGGCGCCAGGTGCGGCGAGGCCCAGGCGGGTGGCGGCCAAGGCCTGGGCTGGTTGGCTGAACCGCAGCAGCAGCAGGAGTGCAGCCGCACACCTGCCCTGTTCTGACCCAGCTCTGCACGGCAGCTCTGCTGCCACGACGCGGCTGAGTAGCGGCGCGCCACGCGCCCCCCTCCACATGCCCTCCACGCCCCTCCCATGCCCCCTGCCCCTGCAGCCATGGAGTGGAGCGAGGGCGACCAGTGGCTGCTGACGCTGGAGCTGCCTGAGGGGCGCCACGAGTTCAAGATGGTAGTGGCGCAGGGCGGGCGCAGCGCCCAGTGGGAGGGCGGCGCGAACCGCACGCTGCAGGTGCGCCCCTGCCCAGGCAGCGGCGCGGGTGCGGTGCAGGTGGCAGGCGGGGGCCGACACTCCCGACGCGTGTCAGCAGCAGCAAGCGGCGCCTGCTGCTGCACAGTGCGGTGGCAGCGGGCTGCCTCTCGTCCTCATCGGCTCGTGCGACTCCCACCCCCCCGCAGGTTCCCGGGCCCCAGGCCGCCTCCCGCGGCGCCTTCACTGTGGTCTGCGAGTGGGGCAACACCGCTGCCAGCCTGGAGACGGTCCCAGGGGAGGAGCCGGAGGCGGCGCAGGACCTGGGCACAGGTGAAGCGGCCGCTGCCGGCCCGCCTGCTCGGAGTGCAGCCAGTTTGTTGTCGCTGCCTCCAGCTCCGGCCCAGCCCTTGTGCCGTTCTCTGCCATGCGCGCCGCCGCTGCTCCACCTGCACGTCATCCTATCCTGGTGCTGCCCCCCCGACCGCCATGCGTGCCCTGCCCTGCCCTCCTGCCCCGCTGCAGGCACAGAGTCGGATGAGTGTGCGCTGCGCCCAGAGGACCTCACCGCCGAGCCATACTCGCCAACGGGCGACGAGGGTGGGTGGCCGCGCGGCCGCACCGCTGGCAGCACCGGCAGGGGAAGCGTGCCTGGGGAGCCGGGGGGCGGGGCCGGGCTGGGGCCAGGGGGCGCACCCACGCGATGCGCCCCTCCCTGCCTGCAGGCGAGCATCCGGTGGCTGTGGTGGCCAAGATGACTGTGGAGCGCCTGCCGCCAGATGTGGCCAAGATGACGGTCGAAGCGCTGCCGCCGGTCGCCGAGCCCGCGACACCTCTTGGCGCCACCCAGGCCGCAGCCGCAGAGCCTCCCCAGGTGCCTTCCGGCGAGCAGCCTGCAGCCCCTGCCGATTCTGCCGCCGCCGCTGCCGGCACTGCTGCCGCCGATGCGGCTGGGCCCGCGGGCAAGCAGGGCAGGAGGGCTGGCGCCACAGCCGCGCCTCGCGAGTCGCCGCGCGGCCCTGCCGCGGCCTCCGGGAAAAAGCCTGGCAAGGGCAGCTCGGGCAGCGGCAAAAAGGAGAGGGCAGGGCGCAGCAGCGGCGCCATCAGCAGCAGCAGCACTCCTGGTACTTCTGCTGCCTCTGGCGGCGGCGGCAGCGCTGGCGGCGGCGCTGACCCGCATGCGCCCGTGCCTATGGAGGCTGGGGACCCCTCGCAGACCCCGGTGGGCCGGCAGCGCCTCCCTGGCAGCGGCCCCCTGCAGCTGCAGCAGGCCACCACGCTGCGCCCACTCGGGAACGGGGTTGGCAGCCGGGCTCCCCTCCTCTCTGCTGGCCCTGGAGAGCTCCCTGGGCCAGGCCCACACACCGCCGCGTGCCCAACAGGCCCACACCCTGCCGCTCTGCCGCTCTGCGCTGCCACCCTGTCCCATCAGGGCTGACCGGGATGCGCTGCACTGCTCCCGCTGCGCAGGTGGGCAAGGGCGGCGATGCGGAGCTGGGCGGGGAGCCCGCCGGCGGCCTCAAGCCCTCCACTGAAGCCGCCGTCAAGAAAGACCTGCAGCAAGCGGTGTGTGCCGCCGCCCCCTGCGCCTGCCTTTGTGCGACCCTCGCCTGGCCTGCTGCCTGCGAGCTGCTGCTGCCGCTGCCGGGGTGCGCCTGTGGCCTGAGCCCGGGCCCGCCGCTTGCGCTGCCGTCTGGCTGCAGGCGGCGGCAAAACCCGGCCTCTTTGCTCGCTTGATGCAGGCGCTCACGGGCAGCAATGTCGAGGACGAGGATGAGTACGATGAGGGCGGCGGCGGCGGTGGCTCCGGCGGCGGCGGCACCGGCACCGGCGGCGGCGGCGGCGCCTCCTCCTCCCCTCCCCCGGCCACAGACAAGGGTGGCGGCGGGGAGCCGCCGGCGAGCATGCAGATGGCGGTCAGCGCTGCGGGGCTGGCGGCCCTGCCCGTGGTTGCCTGGTCGGAGTGGGTTCTCAAGAGCACAGGCAAGCACCTGCGCAGCCGCCTGCCTCTGCCACACGCGCCTGACTGCCCGGCTGGCTGAGAGCACGAGCTTCCCAGCTGCGTGCGCCCCCCGCTTGCTTCCACCTCCTGCTCACCCCCTGGCCGCCCACCTGCCTGTGCAGGCTGCGGGCTGCCCCCAGGCCCCTCTGGGCTGCTGGGCGCTTCTGAGGGTGTGTCCTACCTCGTGGTTGGCGGCGTGGTGGCCTGGAGCCTGGCGCGCAAGCTGGGCACCGGCAGCGGTGGGTGCCTACCCTGCCTGCCTGCCTGCCTGGGTGCCTGCCCTGCCTTTCTGCCTGCCTGCCTGCCTGCTGCCTGCCTGGCCACGCGCCTGGCTGCACCGCTGCCGCTGCGTACCCGGCTTGCCGCACGTGTCGAGCGACCGACGGCGCCTGGCTGCTGCCCGGTGCTGCTTGCAGGCCTGCCTGCCGGCCCGGCGGGCGTGCTTGGCGCGGTGGAGGGCGGCAGCTGGCTGGCGGCGCTGTCTGGGCTGGTGGTGCTGGGCCTTCAGGTGCGGCGGGGTCTCTGTGTGGCGGCCGGGTGGCTGGCGCGTGTGGCAGGCAACGTGCCGGATGTGGGAGGCTCCGTGCCTGGGCCAGCCCTGCTGCCGGGATCCCGGCTGCCACAGGCCAGCCTGCACCGTCCTCACAGTCCTCGCCCCTTCCTTTCTGCTGTGTGTGTCACCTGCCCCGCGGCTGCAGTGGCAGGTATACGGGTACATCCCTTCTGCCCTCCCAGACAGCAACTGCTTCGGCGGGCAGGCGGCGGCGGCGGGTGGCTATGCCACAGCGCAGGCGCCTGCGGCTGGCCAGCGGGCCTTCCCCGTGCTGGTGGCTGTGGACGGCGCCGAGGTGCGGCTCTGCGCTTGCCTGGCAGCGCCCTGACGCAGAGCCGGGCCCCACGCTAGACTTGCACACGACAGGCCTGGCCCCTGCCTTCGCTGCCTGCCGGCGCCACCTGCCTCCCGCCTCTGCCGCGCCCCCCTGCAGGCTGCCACCCCGGCCTACGGCGGCGCCCTTCGCCTCGGCGCCGCCCACGCCCCGCCCCTGCCCCAGGCCAACCTGCTTTTCTCAATGGAGGCCGCGCTGAGCCAGTCGGGGAGCATCATCGAGGGCGCCGAGACGGCGGCGGCGGCGGTGACGGCGGCGGCCGCCGGGCAGCCGCTGCCCGCGCAGGTGGCGGCGGCGGTGCAGCACCTGCACCAGCGCGCGGTGCAGGCTCAGCAGCTGGCCTCCGCGCTCACCAGCCGCGTGGTGGCGCTGGGCGACCGCGGCGCCGACCAGGCGCCTGCGGCGGCGCCGGCGCCGGCTGCGGCGCCCGCCCCCGAACCGCTCCGCTTCTCGCCGCCCCGCCACAAGCTGCGGGCCGCGCTGAGCTCCGGCTGGGCGGCTGTGGCGGAGAGCGACAAGGTCAGGGCGGTGCTGGAGCCGGTGCCGCTGCCGGCGGTGGCGCGGCAGGCGGCGCAGGCGGCCGGCGGCGCGCTGGAGGCGGTGGGCGCGGCGGCGGAGCGCACGGCGGCGGCGGTGGGGAGGGAGGAGGAGGTGGTGGCGGCGGTTAGCAGGCGCACCGCAGGCGCCGCGCTGTCTGGGGTGCAGCAGCGGGCAGAGGCGCTGCGCGGCGCCGCCGCCGCCGCTCACGGCCGCCTGGTGGCCGCGCTGCCGCCCCAGCTGCGCCAATGGGCACCGGCGTCGGCGCAGCCGCAGCCGCAGCAGGCACCCGCCCCGGCCGCAGCAGCAGCGGCCACGGCGCCGCCGGCCAAGCCCGCACCCGCCAAGCCCTCGGCAGCCGCCAGCGCGGTTGGGGGCGCGGCTGCCAAGGCCGGCGCTGCAGCGGGCGGCGACAAGGCGCGCCCCGGCGTGCAGCCCATCAGCGCCAGCATGTTTGGCAGCGCCGTCAGCGACCTGCGAGAGGGGTTTGTGGGGCTGTGGCAGTCGGCGCTGGACTTTGACCCCGCGCAGGCCGCTGCGGCGCTGGAGGGGCGGCTGCACCAGCAGGCGCCGCCCGCCGCGGCGCCGCCGCCGGCAAAGGCGGAGGCGGCGGTGCCCGCCAAGCCCCTGACGGTGGGTAAGGCAGAGGTGGCTGACAACGCCGCCGTTGAAAACAACTGAGCAATGAACGCACACGCAGCATGTGGGTCCCCAGGGCCTGCTTGGCGCAGCACCTGCCGCCGCCTCCTCGCCGCTGGCCGGCGCTGCTGTCAGCCGCGGCATCTCTTGCACACTGCGGGTGGGTGCCAGGGCTTGGCACCACCAGCAGCAGCAGCAGCACAATACGCAGCTTTCTACTCATTCTTCAGCACTGGGCCCATACCGCCTCCCGCTGCATTCTTGGTGGGCTTCTCCACCTGCCGGCATCACTGTCACAGCTCTTCCTCATGCTGCAGACACCTCCTTGCTTGCCTCGTCCTCAACCCCCCCTTTTCTCCCTCTCTCTCCCCTTGTCCCCCCCAATTTTTGTGCCCGCACATCCAGCACAGTACAGTACGCATTACACAGTCAGCCCGCATTTGGTTCTCCTTTGATCATCCCTGCGCCGCCCAGCTCCTTGCGCTGGCGCCGCGCCAGTTTTCCCATTTCCCAATAAAAACACTAAATACTTAGTGCAAGCAATCCGTTTCTGTAACCTGTCGGCCAGCAGGAGGCGCTTCCCATTGGGCAAGGAGGGTGGGGAGGGGAGGGAGGATTTTTCCTGCCGAGGAGTATCTCCCTGCTATCATGTGCCACCAGCAGTCTGAGCTGAGAAGGGCAAGTGAGTGCTGAAAATCCAGTGGTGACCGGTGGTCGCATGCTGTCTCACTCAATTCACTCTTTACACATGTCCATGCATGCAACGGTCTCCCAGGAGGCACCCGCGCGTGCGCTCTCAGGCGCTCTGGTACAGGCGGCGCACGTGGTCGAGGCCCGCTGGGGCGTGCGTGACGGGGCAGCGCCCCCTCTCCTCCACCTCCCGGTGTATGCAGGGGTAGCAGAAGACGTAGCCGGAGGTGGCCAGCATGGCGGGGTTGGTGCGGCGGCGGCCGCACAGCGGGCACAGCGCGACGTCGTCCGGCAGCGCCACCCCGCCCGCCGCCACGCCCACCGCCGGCAGCGCGGGGGGCGGCGGCGGCGGCGGCAGCGCCTTGGGGTCCCCCAGCCGCTGCTCTGCTGAGGTGTACCACCACTCCAGCAGCTGCGGGGGGGCAGGGCGGGGTGATGTCAACAGGTGTGAGAGGCGAGGGAGGGGGAGATGGCACAACGGTGTATCTGCGACACCTGGCGGTGCACGTCCCTGTGGCGGGTGGCTGGGTCGGCGAGGGTGAGGGAGGGAGAGCAGGCGGCGCACCTTGAAGGCAAACACGGCCAGGATGAGGGTGCTGCGGGTGTGGTCGGCCGCCAGGTGCCCCGCGCGGGCCCAGCCCTGGCGCAGCAGGCGCCACAGCCAGGGGCCGCCCCCCGGCCGCGCCAGGCGCGACAGCCGCTCGGCGCGCCGCCGCCGCCGCTCCTGGTCCTGCTGCATCTGCACCACAGCGCGGGCAGCGGGCGCAGCAGGCCCCGGTCGGCCACCCAGCCTCTCGGCGCCAAGCCGTCACAAGCGGCAGGCTGGCATGGCACAGCATGCGCAGAGCAGAGGCGGTTGGCATGGCCCGCAGCCGGCCTGGCCCCCAGCACGCGGGGCGCTCTGCTCACCGCCTCCTGCCCCGTCAGACGCACCACCTCCAGGCCCAGCAGGTGGAGGCCTGGGGAATAGTAGGGGGTGCGCCCCAGCAGGTAGAGCAGCTGGTAGGCAAAGCGGGCACCCTCGTGCCCCGCCACCACCCAGGGGTACAGCAGCTGGAAGGCGCGGCGGGCGAGGGCGCGCCAGCGCAGCTGCTGCAGCCACGCTGGCGACGCCGGCCCCTGCCTGCTGCTGCTGCTGCCGGGCGCTGCAGGTGCCGCGGATGTGCCGGGCGGCTGTGTCCTCCACCCCTGCAGCTGCTGCTGCTGCTGCTGCTGCTGCAGGCGCTGGTGCAGGGAGTCCAGCTTGGAGCGCAGGAAGGGGACTAGAGTCTGCAGGTCAGGCGCAGCTGGGATGTCGACCCGCGGACAAGGCGGCAAGGGATAGGCAACCAGGCCGTGCAGCCGGCGGCGCCCGACCTGCCCAGCGGCCCCGCCTGCCTCCTCACCAGCAGGATGAGCGACATGGAGCGCTGGCTGTCGGTCAGCGGCTGCCGGCTGCTGCCGCCGCTGCTGCCCGATGCGGGGGCTCGGCGCAGGCCGTACAGGCCCTCGGCAAAGGAGCCGCCGTTGGCCGCCAGCGCCTGGCGGTCCAGCGCCATGCTCAGCAGGAAGAAGAGCTCGTCCTCCCGGTCCAGCAGGTGGTGCAGGGCCGGCCGGCGCTGTGCATAGACGGAGAGGGAGTAGAGGACGGCCGCCTTGAGGCTGGGCATCAGCTTCTCCGCTGCCACCAGCTCAAAAAATGTCGGCCGCACGCCGGCATCGCCCCCCAGCGCCACAAACGACATGGCTCGGAACGTTGCCAAGGACAGTGGGTCTTTCGAACACAGCGATGACTTCCAGACCTCCAGTGAGGTGTGCAGAATCGCCTCCGACACAAACAAAGATGATCGATGCCGCCTATCGCAAGAAAATCAATCTTTTTCTGGCCACGCTGGCAACTGCTGGCGGATGGATGGGATCATCTGCGCCCAATCAGAGCTAGACGCATAATAAAACTGCACCGTGTGCTCTTTGACACCATCTTTGGTTCGTGATCAGTGGCACGCAGCCAACCAGCAACACACACAGTCCTCCCTCACCTTGCTGAGAGCGTTTCGCGCCGCCCCGTCATGCTGCTGTGTCGAGCGCCACATGCTGCAGCAGCTCTGCAGCCGCAGCAGCAACCAGCTGCGGGGCGTGCCACCGCCACCCCTGGGCCCGCCGCCGCCCAGCGTCCTCCACGCCGGCTTGCGACCGGCAGGCATTCAACTGTGGCCTGCCTCAGCAGCAGCAGCAGCAGCAACGGCAGCGGCACCAGCCTGGCAGAGGAGCTGAACAGCGTGTGCAACGCTGCGCTGCAAGCCATGCTGGAAAATGAGGAGCAGCGGGTGCCAGACCTGGAGCAGCGGCTGAGGGCGCTGCGCAGCCAGGCGGTGGAGGCTGGAGACCTAGAGGCGCGTCCGCCTGCCGCGCTTGCGCCTTGTCCTGCTAACTGCTGAACCGGGCAGCCAAGCTGCAGGCCAAGGGAGCCACGGTCCCCAGCTGCTGGACACCCAGCCCGCCGCATCCACCCTCACTCCCGACCCGCCTGTGCGCGCTTGCAGGCGGACAGGCTGCTGTGGGTGGTGCAGCGCATGCTGCGGCACGGCATGGCGGAGGAGGCGAGCGAGCTGTCGGGACCGTATGCCGCCGCCGTCAACCGCCTGGTCAACCAGGTGGGACTGGCTGGAGCTGGCTCTTTGCTGCTCTGCCCGGCTTGGCTGCTCTTCCTGCCTGCCCCTGCCCGGCTGTGGTTTGCGCAGCCCCAGGCGGCCTGACCAGCTCTGCGGTGGCTGCCTGCCCCTCGATGCCCCGCGGCGCAGGTGGCTGGCTCCGACTGGAAGCTGGGGCCGGAGGCGGCGCAGCAGGAGCCTCAGTTCAGCACGTGGGAGGATGTGCGCAAGGCGCAGGAGAGGCGGCGGGCAGGCTTTGACGACGGTGGCGGCGGTGGCAGGGGCGGCCCCGCTGACACGGCATACTACCAGCTGCTGGAGGTGGGGCCCAGCGCCAGCAAGGCCGAGATCAAGGCCTCGTACCGCCAGCTGGCGCTCAGGCTGCACCCCGACGTCAACTCGGCGCCCGACGCGGCGCAGCGCTTTGCCGAGGTGGCTGGCGCCTACGATGTGCTGTCAGACCCGGCCAGCCGCACGCTGTACGACCGCTTTGGCGCCGAGGGCATGAAGCGGCACGCGGGTGCGGCTGCCTGCCTGCTGCCTGCCGGCCTGCCGGCCTGCCGGCTGCACCTGCCCCAGCGCTGCTGTGGCCAGTGGGCCGGCGCACCGCGCCCAAGCCTCCTTGCACAAGTCTGCTCACGGCTCTGTCCCCAGCTCGATCCGTCCAATGGTGCCCTTTGCAGGCGCCTCGTCCGGCAGCGGCAACGCCAGCCGCGCCTGGGACGAGTTCAAGCCTTACAAGAAGGTCAACAAGCGCACCAAGGCCCGGGACGCCAGCACCGCCAGCTACACCAGCAGCAGCGACGAGCCCGGCGCCAGCGGCAGCATGAATGAAGCAGCGGGAGCGGGTGAGGCCAGCCAGGAAGCAGCGGCCAGCTCAAGCGGCAGCGGCGCTGGCGGGGCTGCAGCGGATCGGTGGTCGGGCATGCCTCAGGCTGGCGCCGTGGTGGAGTACCCGCTCAGCGACGTTGTTCGAGACGAGCTGCAGGATGGGCGCACTCACGGCGTGGGCCTGCTGGTTGGCCGCAACATCGACAGGCGAGGCTTCTGCTTCGGCCTGCATTGCATGTGGCGCCCAGCAGCGGGCGCGCCCCTCACCTTTGCGCTGTTGCATGGGTGCAGGGGTGATGTCAAGCGGCTGCCTGAGGAGGTGCTGGACCTGTGTGAGGTCGAGCCGCTGCGGCAGGAGGAGACCGGCTCCAGCAGGCAAGCCAGCACGCCAGGCTCCAGCCTTCGCTCATGGTTTACTGCTTCACTGCTCCAGATTCCAACCCACGCCTGCGCCCCTGCTGCAGCTGGGTGCCAGATGAGCTGAGCCCTTCGGCATACGTGCGGCTGGGGCAGCTGCGCCCCGTGGCGGTGGACAGCTTCGACCAGCGTTTTGACGTGTGGGTCATAACAGCGCAGCTGAGTGAGGGCTGCGGCGGGCCGGAGCTGCCAGAGGAGATCATGCTGTAGCATGCCTTCCCCAGCATTGCTTTTTGGGCTGACCCATTGCTAGTTTGCATGGGTCTGGCACCCTTCGATTTTGATTGTGTCGCGCCCTTCGGCATGTTCGGCAACCCCTGCCCATTGGCAGAGTTACAGCAGCACGACAGAGGCAGGCAGGGGGATAAGAGCAGATAGCAGTGCAATGCAAGTTGAAAAGGATAGAAGAGGCTAGGATTGAAGGGTAAAGGACACGCTAGTGCAGGCAGGGGGCAAACAATGCAACGCAACGGCAAGAATGAAAGGGAGCTAAGTCGATTATCGTGGGCATGCCAAAGGGGCATCGTGATGCTGCCAAGGGGCAGTCATGCTAGAGAGGAAGGGTCAGGGAGTCGCCCAGCGAGGGTACAGCGGTCGGCGATGTCCAGTGCTGCGGTCACGTGCTCAGCTGCGGCGCGGCGCCGGCGTGCGGCGCGGCGCCGGGGCGGCTGGCCACCGGCCGCACCGCGAGGTTGTTGATGCGCTGCAGCGCGCCCTGCTGCAGCAGCACCGCGTTCTCCTTGTACTTCTCGGCCGCGCTCTCCGCCGCCAAATACTTCCACCCCAGCTTGGTGCAGCATGTTCTGCACCGCACATCCGACAGCGTGTAGCGCCCCGTGCTCAGCACCTGCACGACCACCGCCACATCACAGCGGGGTGGGTCACTTCAGCGAAGATGTTCAGGGGCAGGGTCATGCATGCCTTGACCGACCGACCGGCCACACCGGACCGCCGCACCTCCTGGCGCTTGGGGCCGGAAGGCTCAAGGTTGACTGCCGTGCGGAACAGGAAGGCAGGGGTGGCAGAACCCATGTAGCCCTCCCACAGCAGGCATCTCTCGCTTGCAATGTCGCACCCGCAGCGGCAAATGTATTTTGCGCCGACATCCTCGTCGACAAACTGCAGGGAAGAAGAGGGGATTCACACGCGGCAGAAGGGCGGGAAAAGGGGATCCACACGTGGCAGAAGGGCGGGCTGGAGGGTGGGCTGGGGGCTGAGAGGGGGGGCTGGCGGTTCAGGCCGGGCGATGGCGGCGCCCTCGGTGCCGAAGGCGCCGCCGGCCGAGGGGAGCCCGCCATTGCGGCCATCGATTCGTGCTGGTCTCCCACGCACGCACCTCGATGAACAGCCTCCCCATGAGGCTCGCAGGCAGTTCAGCGGAGAAGCCCGGAAGAGAGGCTGGCGGTCTGGCGCTCTTGTTCACCGCTGGTCGCCAACAGCACGCAGGCTTCAAACACAGACCAAACGGAGATGTATTGAGACGAATGCGCCAGGCTCAAGCCCTCAGGGTTCTATGGGGTGGCCACGTCGGTCCAGAGAGAAGAGAAGCCGGCATGGGTATCACCCCATTACACGCTATCTTCTACATGGCGTGCCGCTGCGGATGGCGCCCCACGGCCGAGCGCCCCACTTCAACTTCAAGCCAACAAATACTGAGGCCCTGGCGGCAGCGGAGCAGCGGACGACGGAGGTGAGGGAGCCTGAATGATCATCTGCACGGTTGGCAGGACGCAGGCATTGGGGCCGCTTTGGTGCCGGCTGCCGCCGCCGCCGCCACCGCCGGGCGCTGCCGCTGCCGCCCGCCACTGCTGCCAACATCTGCAACGATACCCACCCTACCCAGTGCTGGGACTGCTTTGACCCACCATGCTCTGCTCCTCAGCCGCTTGTTTCCCTCACTCTCCTTGCCCACTCCCCTTCCACGCCCTCAGAGCGCGACCATGTCGTCCCCACGCCTCGGCAGCGCTGCCCGGCCCAGCAGCCGCGGCGGCGGCGGCGGCCACGCTCGCTCAGATCGTGCCCACCTTCCCGCGCATCGGCGGCCAGCCTGTGCGCGACTGGATAGGCCAGGCTGTGGACAACCTGCCTGGAATCAACGGCGATGACCTGGCCAGGCTGCTGTTCCCAGACCTGGTGGGACTGGTGGACGGCCCCACCTGGCTCATCGGCGGCCTCCTCACCCTGGCCTTCGTCCACTGGGAAGGCGGGGTGCTGCTGCGGGCGGTGCGGGAGCGGCAGCGGCAGCAGCGCGAGCAGCGGCGGCGAGAGAGGCAGCAGCGGCGGCGGGAGGGGCAGCAGCCAGGCGGCGACAGCAGCACGGGCAGCGACGAAGACGAGGCGGCGGCCGCAGCGGTGGCAGCAGTAGAGGAGGCGCTCACGCCGCCGCCGCCGCTGTCGCCCATTGACCGCGCGCGGCACGAGCGGCGCAGGGGCCTGGGGTGGCTGGCGCTGGTGACGGCCGGCATGATCTGGATGTGTGGGGTGGTGAATGGGCCCACGCCCTTCCAGCCCTGACCCGCCGCAGGGTGTGCTTTGCCTCCCAAAAACTGGTGCCTCACAATGTGTAAGGTCAGGCTTACAGCGAATCGGCGGCTCGAGTGGTCATTTCCAGCAGGCCGGCGGCAGCAGAGATTATCGAAATAGGCATACACCGGTGTGAGGCAGGTCACTAGCAGTGCTTGGGGGACGATCAATAGGAGGCGGCAGCGGGGCGGGCTGCACGCAGCAGCTCTGGCCGCAGCGCCGGCACATGCGCCATCTCCACCGCCGACTGCCCCGTCCAGCGGAACAGCAGCGCCACCGAGGGCACCAGGTCCGCCTCGCGCACTGCAGGGGCGGGGCGGCACGCGGCGGGGGTGCAGCCAGCGCGTGCTTGTGATGGCAAGGGAGCGCTGCTCAGCGCAACTGGGCAGGGAGGGTACCAGCTGCGAGTGCAGGAGCAGCAGGTAGCGCTGCGACGGCATGCCTGAAACCGCGCCCACAGCCACCGCTCCTGCACCCTCTGCTACACCGGCCAGCCAACCCAGCCGGCCACCCACCCGATTGCGCCTTGGCCTCCAGCGGCTGCCTGCTGGGCAGCACCAGCTCGTACGTGTGCAGCGGGTCGCTGAGGCAGTCTGCCACCCAGGCAAACACCGCTGCCACCGGCTCCCCAGCGCCAAACTCTCCCTGCAGCCGGGCGGGCAGGCAGTGAGCAGCAGCGGCAGGCAGGCTACAGGAGCGGTGCGATGCAGGGCAGCAGCGGCTAGCACAGGGCAGCCGCCTGGCTGCAGCCCCTACCTGCAGGCTGATGCCCTCAGGGAACCGCACTTTGAGTGTGGCATGGGTGGCCGCCGCCCGGCCGGGCCCGCCGCGCAGCCGCTCCCGCATCGCGCGCGTCATCAGCACCTGCCACAGAAGAGGAGGGCGGGGCGGCGGTGGTGGCACGGCATTGCTCAGCGAGCATGCGTGCTCGCTGCCCTCCCCAGCAGGCAGGGCACAGGGCCGGATGAGGCAAGGCAGCAGAGCAGCGACCCCATCCAGCACGCCCGCGCAGCTCTGCCAGGCCAGGCCACTGCGTGGAGAGGTGACAGGGAGGCGGCAGTGTGCGTGCCTGGTCCTGCTCCCGCCGCCGTGATGCCGACATGAAGGCTGCCTTGAGCTCCAGACCGGTGCGCTGGAAGAACCAGTCGGGCACGTCGCGCTCCAACGACGTGGGCAGCACCACCTGCAGGCGGCAGCGGGCGGCGGCAGGGCCGGGCGAGTGTTGGGGGACAGAGTGAGCGCCAGGCTCCCGCTCGTTAAGGGTCGAGCTGCTCTGGATGCTGAAATGGGTGCGTCCAGTCGATGCCGGCTGCCCTCCTCCTCAACCCAGCTGGCCAGGCAGCTTGCCTGGGTGTTGCGCTCCCGGGCCGCCTCCCATTCCCGCGGCGGCCTGCCCGGCCGCTGCTGCTGCTGCGCTGGCTGCTGCTGCGCCGGCCGCGGGGCGTCAGTCACGGGCCTGCTGGCCGGGGGCGCTGCTGCTGGGCGTGCACCGGCAGGCGCAGAGGGCAGCAGCCCAGCCAGGAGGCGCAGCGCCTGCCGCAGCGGCTCCAGGTCAGCACCCTCAGCCAGCACAGCATAGCCCTCAGAGCTCGCCTCGGCTGCCGCCTCCCCAGCATCGCCACCGCTGCTGCCCGCTGCTGCTGCGCCAGCTGGCGGGGCCGCCTCCTCAAACACTATCTCAAAGCCGCAGGCCAGCAGCAGCTCCAGGCCGCCACCCACGTCCACAACGGCAGACTGGATGCGCGGATTTGTGAGGCGCACACGGCGGAACTTGGGGTCGGCCGGCGCCGCCACAATGTTGCCCAGGAGCTTGGCGAGCACCTCGGCTGCTGCGGCGCCCGCTGGCTCGGAGGCCAGCTGCCCCACCGCCACGCTGACCGCCTCGGGCGCCTCCTCCACCTGCTCTGGGTGTGGGGGTACCGCCGGGGCGGCATGCTGCTGCGGCAGTGCTGCTGCTGCTGGCGGCACTGCTGCTGCCGGCTGCTGCAGGTGCGGCTTGGCAGGCTGTGGAACCGAGGGGGCAGCTGCAGCGCTGGAGCTGGCGGCAACCGGTTGCTGCGCCGGCGCCGCCGGTGGCGGCACCTTCAGCACCGGCCGAGCAGGTGGCGCCTGCCGCGCGGGCGGCACCCCAGCCTGTAGTACCATCAACACAGCGCTGCTGAGCGGGACAGGAGCAGGCGTGCAGCGGGCAGAAGCGCGGCACCCTCTACAGACGCACTCACCTGCGCGGGAGCGCTGCCGAGCACATTTGCTTTGCCCTTGAAGGCGCCCTTGGCCTGTGACTTGCCAAACAGGCTCGTTAGCTTGCCCTTCAGCTTGTCCAGCTCGTCCATGACCGGCGACCGGCGAACACTGAGCGATCGGGCGGTTGCGCAAGGCGGGTGGACCAGAAAGCAGATCGGTCGGGATTTGGAGAGGGTGCCATGATGTGGCCGCCGCCGCCATACTGCGCTGCGCTGCCAGCCGCCCCCCGCCGCGCTGCCTGCCACTGCACGCCCGCTGCTCATCCAGTTCTGCAAAGTGAGAGTGTGCAGCAGCTTGTGGATAGGGCACGAGCAAGGTTGTTGCTTCCAAGGCTGCTTTGCCTTGTGTTAGCTGCCCTGCTTCTGATTTGAGAAGCCCTGCTGCTCTACTACAGCACTCTGTGCACCATGCACCTCTAATCAAGCAGCCCAGCCAATCCAGCTAGCCAAGGGGGATGGCAGCCGAGGTGCTCAAGGAGCGAGGCAGAGGCTTCCCGAGGCTCTGCTCATGCCAGCAGCGCCCATTCCAATGTGCCTGCATGCACTCACGCCGGCTGCGCCCACCGCTTCCCGCCCACCGCCCTGTGTGCAGGCGCTGCCGCCGCCCTGGGCTGCACGAGAGGCCTGGGAGCGCAACGTGGCGGCCTTGAAGGCGCTGCTGAAGTCCTTCATGTCCGATGGAGAGCCGCCAGACGCTGCCACCGGGGCGCTGCAGATCAGAATGCTGTCCACGGCTGCCAGCAGCGAGGCGGCGTGGCTGCGGTTGCTCACGGCGGCTACAAAAGGGTGAGCTTAGCCTACGCATCTCGGGGGCCCCTGGCTATGTCACTGCTGACGCCAACCCGCCTGCTGTGGGGTGCAGGTGGCAGGACACGTTCAACACAGCGCCAAACATCATGAGGGTCCTGGGAAGGTTGGCGGCGTGTGGCCCGCTGGACAGCTGCGGAAGGCTCGGCTGGCCCGACAGCGCACACTGGATTGCCTGCAAGTGGCTGGCAGTAGCATTGGACGAAGTGCTGCTGGAGGAGGAGGAGGGAAGCGCCGAGAACAAGGGTGAGGCCCCGCCGGTGGCCAGCGGCCCGCCGCCTGCAGCTCCCAGGTCCATGCCACAGCTTTGCTGCTGCCGCGGCCGCCCTCACGCGGTGCTGCCGCTGCTTTGCTGCTGCAGAGTACATGGATGAGCTTGCGCGCAGCCCCGCCCTGCCAGCCATCCTGTCGCTGCTCGCCAGCGCTCTGGCGGGAGCAGAGGTGCGGCGGCGCCGCGCCAGTGCAGGCTATTCTGGCCTGCTCTCTCAGGCTCCGCACCTTCCAGCCGTGCTCAGAGCCCTGGCACCATGCTGTGCAGGCGGCGAGCCCCGGGGAGTTCACGCAGGAGCAGGCATCCGAGGCGCGGCAGGCGGGGGGCCCCCTGCTCTCCCTCTGCGACTCCCTGCTGTACCACGAGCAGGGTCAGGAACGGGAGCAGGGGCAGACGTACCGCAAGGTGGTGGCCGCCTTCTCCTTCAAGGCCCTGGCGCGCCTGGTCAGCGGCTCCGAGCTGTGCCGCGAGGCGTGCGTGAAAGAGGCTGAGGTACTGCTGCCGGTCGGCACCTGCCCCTCAGCTTCCCAGCTTGCGCCAGGGTGGCGCGCGCCAGGGCGGCTGCATTTGTTGAAGGCACCATCTGGCAGGATCCATGCACACGCCCATGGATGTTGGGGGGGTGGCGCAGTGCGCGGCGTGTGGCCCTGCAGGCCATGCTGCTCCTGTCGGTGGTGCTGGCCTGCAGGTGAGGATGCGGAGGAGCAGCAACGGCACCCTGATCTCCTGCCTGCTCTGGTGGCTGGCCTACGGGCCTGGCAGGTTCCAGATGCTGCCGGCCACGGAGCCGACGATCTCGCTGCTGGAGCGCCTGGGCAACCTGCTCCTGGCCCACCTGCCCGTGGCCAGCAGCCTCTGTTACCAGGCCGAAATTCTGGACGTCGTGCAGCATGCAGTGAGGTGAGATGAAAGTGCCAAGGGTGCACGGCATGGCTGGCTGCAGCGGGCATGCCATGGCTGGCCCCTTGCTCAAATGCTGCCTGCCCAGAGTCCCAATGCGGTGCGCAAGGTCAGGCACCCGCCCACCTTCCCTGCCCCTGGATGTGCTGTGTGATGCAGGCACTGCCCTGCAGTGATAGAGGTGTTCTGTGGAGCGCCGTGGGGTGTCAGTGCTGTGGCAAGGACAACAGCCGCCTGCCTGCGGGCGGCACGCCTTGAGCAGCTGGCGGCGGTAGTGGGCACCTTCCCGGCATGCATGCCCCCAGCTCCCACCGGGAATGTAGGCACGGCCAAGGACGCAGCGTCTAACGCCTTCACCCTGCTGTCGGATGCCGATGACTATCTGGAAGAGGCAAGTGCAGGGGGACCTGCTGTGACGCTGATGCATCTTGCTGCTGCAATGACGGCTGGAAAAGGGCAGGCATTGCTGCCTCCACCTGGCTGATGCCCGCGGCGCCGCGGCATGCGATGCTTGCCCCATGCCGCGCTTCCGTTGCGCCTGCGCTGCCGTGCGCAGGACGATCTGGGGCAGGTCATCCGCCCCCCAAGGTATGTGGCGGCCGCCAGACGCCTGAGGGAGGTCATTGGAGACCCCGGCAGCTGGGATGATGAGCTGGCAGACCACGTGGCCGATCTGGCAGACGAGCTGGACCAAGCTCCATTCCAGCCACTCCTGGCACCCCAGGCCCCCAACATCTGGCTGGAGGCGGCCCAGGTGGCGGGTGCTGCCGGAGGCCCGGCCTGCCCCTTGCCTGCTCGCCTCACACCAGCCTCTGCCACAGCAGGGCCCTGCTGCCGGGGAAGATCGCCACAGCATCGCTGCCAGCCCCCATCTGCAGGCCATTGTGGCTACCGATGTCCACCTGCCCGAGCTACTCCTGCACGCCGCCCAGGACCAGGTGGCATTGGCGGAAGCCGCCGCCGCCGCCGAGCGAGCCCAGCAGGCACAGCAGGTGCAGCAGGCGCAGCAGGGCCACCTGGACCTGGTGTCCCTGCTCATGGAGGCCTCCCAGCGGCCGGCAGCTGCTGCCGCGGGCCTGACTGCCAATTTAGTGGACAGGTTTTGGGCAGTGATGGCGACACTGTCCTTGAAGGAGCAAGCAGCGCGGGTAGGTGGCTGCTATGTACGTCGCACGCAACAGGCTTGAAGCAGCCCGCGACTGCAGCTGGCAGATGTGGTGCGCCCGTTCATGCAGCGTCTTACAACCTCGTTGCCTTACCGCTTCCGTTGCCTGCAGGAGGTGCCCCTGCGGCTGATGCTGGGCCATGGCCAGCTCAGTGTGGCGGCCGAAATGATGCGGAAGCAGGTGGAGCTGGCCCCAGCGGATGCAGCGCACGGCTTGGTCGCCAGAGACAGCGCCACCAGCATTCCAGCCCCCGAAACCCTCTGCCACTTTGTGTCCTGCCTGCTGCTGCGCTCCATGGCTCGCGCCGCCTTCATCTCCGGCACGGCGCGGCCAGCAGTTGGCTTCCTGCAGCGCTACGCCTCGCTGGTAGCCTCCCCTTGGTACCCGCAGCAGCTGCTGGTGCCGGTGCTGCAGGTCCTGCAGATGGCGGTGGTGGATGAGGACTTGGTGAGGACATGCATCGGAAACCACTGCCATCAAGCTGCTGTGTGGGCCTGGTGGTCTACAGCGTGCCCACGTCTTTCCTCTACGGTGTGCTGCGTGCAGGACGGCAGGGGGCGGGTGCTTGCGGCGGTGTCGGCGGCCATGGGTGCCGTCGTCTCCCTGCCCCTGGAAGCGCCGGCGGATCACCACACACCCGCCCTGTGCGCCGCCCTGGAGGTCATCAGCTGCTGTGCCAGGACGGGCAGCCCCCCGCAGGGCAGCCACAGGCTGAGCCAGTTCCTGGAGGCTCGCTGCCTGCCCGCAGTAATGCGCTGTGTGCGGCGCGGCAGCCACCTGATGGAGCAGGTGAGGCGTCTTGCTGTGAGGGCTGGGAGGAGCGCATCGCATTGGTGGATTATGCATACAAGTGTGAACTGGCGCTGGACTTGCCTTGCTGACCCGCTGCGCTGACTGGCGTGGCCGCAGAACTCTCCAGGCAGCCCCGGCTTCAACAGTGGGTGGAAGCTGGCTGACGTGGCACTCAGTACCGCCACCGCCCTGGTCTTCCCCGGCTCCTGGCGCTCAAGTGGAGGTGCTGAGGCTGCCTCATCCGTGCACCGCCTTGCCGCCTGCCTCGGTACTTGGTGCATTCGGCGGGGCCAGCAGCGAACTTTGAAACTTAAAACTTGAACTTTGAAACTTGAAAGCTTTGTCTGAAGGCAGGTGTGCCTGCCCGCCCTCTCCGCCTGCAGCCCTGGTGGAGCTGGTCATTGCCAGGCAGCCGCCGCCACCGCTGCTGAGGGAGGCGGCACTGCAGCTGGCCGTCGGCATCCCCCCTGGCGAACTATTGCGGGTGGCAGAGCTGGGCGAGGTCCCGCCGCCGCCGCCTCCGCTTGAGCAGAGGCAAGAGCAGCCGGGGCCGCAGGCTGAGCCCACCGCGAGTGCCAGCGGGGAGCAGGCCCAGCAGGAGCCGGCAGGAGTGCAACACCAGGTGGTCGGGGCTGACGCCGCTGGTGGAGCAGTCACGACGCTGGAGCAGCTGATCGCCCTTCTGTTTGGCATTGCGCTTGCCCCAGATCACACCGGCGCTGGGCAGGTGAGCGCCACGCCTGGTCGGCAGTGTGCGGCAGCGGGCTGAGCAGCCTGAGCAGCAGGAGGAGGAGGTGATGCTTGGCCGCATCAACACCTCCCCAGCTACTCCTGCCTGCACTGTGGGTTGCCTGCCCCGTAGGATGCGCCGCGTCAGGGCCAAGGTGAAATGGCCAGCGAGGCGCTGCACCTGCTGGCCGCAATCGCTCTCAACTTCCCTGCTGCACAAGACGCGCTGCTGCGCCAGCCTGGCGATGTGGCCAGCCTGGCAGCCAGGCTGGAGGGCCCCATGGAGCAGGCTGCCGTGGAGGTGCGCGCCTCCTGGTGCACCACCATACTGGGCAGCCTGGCGCTGCGCCCTGGCGCCGGCCAACTGGCCGGCGGCGGCGCCGTGGATGCGGTGGCCGGCGGGCTGCAGCTGGCCCTGGAGCAGGAGAGAGCGGCTCCGCCGTTCGGCCCGGCACCATACGCCAACCTGCGCGGCTGCTGCATCATGGCGGCCGCCTCCTTCGTGCTTCGGGTCAGCATGCTGGCCGTGGCTCTGCCCTTGCCCTTGCTGCCGCCGACCAGCGTGGGCGATGCCCCTGCGCCCTCCTTGTGCCCTGGCTGCCACCTGCGCCGTGTGACGCCTCATGGGCGTCACCCGCTCACCCCTGCCCGTGTCGCTTCCCATCCCTTGCGCAGGCCGACCGCCAGCTGTGCGCTCAGCTGACGGCGGATGGCGGCCGGATGGCAGGCCTGCGCCGGGCCTGCGCCTCCAGCGTCTACCCGCGCGTGCGGGAGGTGGTCGGCGCGCTGCTGGATGCGGCGGAGATGGTGGCTGCGGGCGCCTGCTGGGTGGGTGGGTGGCCGGGCCGGGTGGGGCCATCGCGCCGGCTGCTGCTGGTGCTGCGCATGGTAGCCAGCCGGGTCACTTGGCCACCTCTTCTTCCACCCCTCCCATCCCCTCGTGGGCTCATGGCTGCAGGCCCAGGTGGTGGCCCAGCACGGCGAGCTGCTGCTGGTCGCCGCCAACGATGTGGCCGAGTCGATGCAGCGAGAGCTTGGGTTCCCAGCCATGGTGCCCCAGGTGCTGCAGCTGTGCGCGGCGCGGCCAGACTGCCAGGTAGGCCAGCGCGCGCCTGCTGTCAGCCTCCCTCCGGGAGCTGTGCCCGAAGGAACCTCGCTGGAAGCCATGGCGGTGGAGGACAGGCAGCACAACAGACCTGCCCCGCAATCGTGATTGGCTTGCAGGGCGTGCTGTCCTGCATGGAGCGCGCCACCGGCCATCTGGCGCTGCTGGTCCCTGAAGAGCAGGCATCCGAGGGGCTGGAGGGGCCAGGCGGCCAGTTGGTCGCACAGGTGCGGCACTGGCGACCGCCCTGGCCCAAGGCCCAATGTGGCTGGGAGACTTTTGTTGTTGATGCCGCAGATGTGAAGTGCCCTTGGTCCTACCCGTGGCGCCTTCCATCATGCACTGCAGGCCAACGCCGAGTTCCTGCGCTCCTCCCAGGCCCTGGAGGGCCTGGTTGGCTGCGTGCAACTGCTGGCCCGCACACTGGAGCAGGCGCGGCTGTCCTGGGGCGCCGTGTCGGGCCGCGAGGCTCGCAAGCTGCTCCCCACGGTGTTCGTGCTTCTGCAAGTGCTGGCCGTCCTGCGCAACGCTGCTGGGGTGGCACAGCTGCGGGCCCCGCTCCAGTCCCAGCTGGGCGGCGCAGCAGCCCTGGATCAAGTGGTCGCCGCCGTTCAGGCAAGTGCCGGGGCCGGGGGTACCATCGGCGCCGTGTGGCATGCCAGTTGGAGTTTGCGTTGGGCGCTGCCAGTGGGCAGGTGTGCAGACACGCATCGTGGCGCCCACCCCGATGCGCCGCCTGCAGATGTTTGACGGCACCACGATGCATGCGGAGGCCCGCCGCTGCACAGACCTGGCGCAGCAGGTGGCGAGCCGGCTGGCTGCCGACCTCTGAGAGCCACCTCATCAACTCATCCACCCACTTTAGCTACGCCGCCCCCGCTTGATGCCCACATAGCGCAGCAAGGGCCGCAAGAGAAGACACTAGGACACGCCGCCAACAGAGCTGGCCCTGTAGCGCAAGGGTCTCGTTTGCCTGAGGCGCCATGTATTGTGTGGAATCGTGCTTGCAAGCTGAATTTGTTCATGGCATGGAGATCGTCGTGCATGAGATGTGACCTGCTCTACAGCTGCGGCACGCGAGGCACCGCTAGCACCGGCAGCCCGTGCTCCGGTTGCAGCGTCAGGCTGATGATGTCGCGCACGCCTCCAGGGGCCGTCACCTGCAGCCATCGTCAAGGAAGGCTGCTTTTGCTCAGCACCAGTTGGACACATACCGCTGTTGCAAGCCACGCCCAGGATGCTTGTCTGCTGTAGGCAACACACGATGCAGCATCGCCTGCCTACCTCGGGAGTCAGCTGGAATGTGTACCGCCCCAGCAGTACCGCCAGTATTGCTAAGTAGTCCATCTTTGCCAGCGACTGGCCCACGCAGTTGCGGGGGCCCTGGCTGAAGGGGAAGAAGCGAAGCGGCTGGCTGCTGCCGCCGCCGCTCCCAACTGCCCTGCTGCTGAAGCTGGGGCTCAGGCTGCTGCTGCCGTGTGAATCGGGCCTGTGCTGTACCTCAGCCTCGCCTTGTGCGCTGCTGCCGTCACCAGGCAGCTTCTCTTGCGATGGCGGCGCGCTCTGCCCTCCTGCTGCCGCTGCTGCTGCCTGCTGCCCTGCCGCTGCTTCACCTGCCGTTTTGCCTTGCGGGCCGCTGGCGGCATACTCGGCCCCGGGCTGCATGAAGCGCTCGGGCAGGAAGCGGTCGGGTTGGTCCCAGTAGCGGGCGCTGTTGTGGCAGCTGAAGATGTGCACCCAGATGATGGTGCTGCAGCCGGCAGGAGGAAAGCGTGGCGGGGCACAGATGAAAGCATGCCGCGCGGACACGGCGGATCGGCACCCCAGCATTGGCAGTGGGCAGAGGAGAGGGGCAGCCAGGCGAGCAGGTGGGGCGTCATGCAGCGGGCAGGGGCACCCACTTTGCCGGGATGGTGTGGGGGCCCAGCTGGATGTCGCGGGGCGCCTGGATGGCGGTGCCGTCCGCGCTGACAGGCAGCACCCGCATCGACTCCTGCATGAAGGCGGAGGCACGCCATGTGAGGCAATCTTTGTTAACGCTGCCGGTGCAGCCATCAGTCCACATGTTGGTCTCCCCACAAACAACATGCTTCCATCGACCTACGCTGCCCCAGCTCCTGTCACGCATGGCAGCACTCGCCCCCGCCCCCCCCCCCCCCCCACGGTCCAGCAACGCACCCGCACCCCGTGGGGCCACTCG